ATTTGAGCAAGGGTTTAAAGAAGAGTCAGAGCAAATTGAGTTGACCTGACAGTGGCCATCTTGAGCCTCTCCAAAAGCAACTGTACACAACCCAATTGTAGCTTTGAACAGTTAATACAGTTGATCTATGACAACCAAAAGGGAAATCAAATTCTCTGAATTTCATTTATTGAAATTTGAAAGAGTAATTTCAATAACTACATAAAATTATGGAGCTATGGCGCCGCGACTCTTTTACACATTTCACGGCATCAAGAAATACATAAAAAAGGCAGGACAAGACACTAAAAGATTACAAACAATATATTATGTCAAAAAAATACCAAAATAAGCAAGAACCTCATTATTGATCACCATTATTCAATCGATATGTTCCAACTTCAATTTTCTATAAAACGAATATTCTCCTGTGAATGCCATAAATCTTCTCTCATATGGATGATATTTTGAATATATCGAATATCTTTACACGAGGCTTGTCTCCCAGGAACTTGTAATCTTTAGCTCTGCTTAGAGGAATACCAGAGTTTCTTCTGGCAAATCAGTATCTTTTCCTTTTCTACGCCGTATTCTGTGTCTTCTTTACGACAACTCCATTTCATCCCCTTGGCTATGGTAGCAATGGCATCCATGAAGTAGCTTGATTCCCGGATAATTGCATATCCATTTGGCCGGAGGATCCGATCCATCTCGAGAAGAACATGCTTCATTTCACACCTTTACAAGAGCATACTTATGTCAAAATAACAAATACTTGCTGGTTGAAAGAAAAATGGATAATAATATAGAAAGGGCAAAAAAAAAAAAAAACCTCATATTTTTTCCTCTTTATGTGAATTTCCTCTTTATGTGAATAAAATAGAGCAACTAAATAAATAATAACAGAAATAATTGAGCAATATCAGAGACAATATTTATGTAGCCTAAGGGTTTTCTTATTGATGATAGTGACGATAGCGCGGGTTCAATTCCCATCATTAACCAATAACTAAAATGATACTTGTCACAGGAATCTTTCACAAACTTTCCAACTAATATTATCAACTAATCAGACAATGTGCCAACATCCATGGACATAGCAGGCGCAATTAAGTCGAGAGAAAATGTATGTGTAAATTTCATCTGTAAAATACAGTTGGTGCCTTACCTATGACTTTCCCCTGTGAAGAGACCATCGACATGAAGCAGATCATATGTTCGAGGATATGTTGAGAACGCTTCACACCTAGGAAAAAAGATGGTCCAGAGAATCAAAAAAATCACTTGCTCAGACAAGTTATTAAAAGAAACCTAGTACACAAAGTATAATTACCAGTCATGGTAGGTTCCTATAAG